ACATATCAAAAAATTTTTTTACAGAAGATCAATTTCAGATACTCGTTTAGCAGTTTATATACTCAAAATCTATCACTTTTTTATGTATCATAACCACAAACGCGTATCGTTAATGTAATCCGACCAAAGTCCTCCTTTTTGAACTACTGAAAAGTTTTTCTTCAAAGAAACTAACTTCGAATAGCGTCGGTAAGTCGCTTCAGCCTCTTCCTTCCATTCACTCTATTATGCATACTACTTATTGTATTGTAATTGTTAAACGCTGCGCTGATGGGGTGCAGCTTTAAATTGATGACAAACTCTTCCGACAGCCAACAATTTTTTTTTTTTTTGTCCGTAATTATGTAAAACCACAACCTGACATTTCTCATGAATGCGAAGGGTTAAAGAAGATGACAATTAACGAGTATTTTGGATGCTTTTGAAGGTAGTTGGTGGGTAGTGGATGGTGGAACTTACCAAAGTTGGTTGTTTTGTGCAAATATTTAATATTCTCTACCCTGAGGAAAGTTTGAATTCTTGCCCTGTTTTGCGGGAAGGAATTTATTCGCCCCGGTAGACAATCACACGCGGGTTGGTATGTCCTACTTCTCTGTATAGTGCTGGGCGTACAATAAACTAGTAGGTATTGTTATGTCATGTACATAATGGTTTATTGTAAAAAATAATGTACCTCGAATTTAACATTATGATTTTATTCAGTTTAAAAAACCTTCAAATGAAAGTTCAACGATATATATATTCAATTGGATTTAGGTGTTACGTTTGTGGTTCTCCGAATTGAAGAATACAGAAGTCGTAAGTTACGTTCAAGTTTACACGAATAGAACGATCGATTCAAATAAATTTTTATTTATACTTTTTATTGATTTTTTTACGAATTTATTTAAATTATTATTCGAATTAAATAATTAATTTATTTATTTTATCACAAAATAAATTGCATTTTTACAAAAAATTTTTTGAAAAGAATCTAAAATTATTATTTTAATTTTCCTACTCGGATACGTAATACCGCTTTTAGTGTTTAAGACGCAAATAAATATAGAGCTGAATATTAATAAAGATGACCAATTTCTATTTATAAAATGATATCAAAGCTATTTCCTTGAAACTGGATGGTATTCATTAATATAAACAATTACCACCATTTCAATTAATAGATCAAATCATTTGACCTTTCTTGTATTTTAATTTTTAACAACCATGTTCATTAATAATTAACCTCCGCGCTTTTAAAATTTATTGATTAAAATCAAGGGCGATTTTTAATTAAAATGAAGTATTATCTTTTCGTTAAATTTCAATGAATAACTAAAAGTAATCTTATTTCAGCCAGAAAAATTATATTAAACATTCTTATAAAATTTAACATCAAATATTTGCCGTTAAAAAAAAGAGCAAAAATAGTTTGCTTAAAAATAGAATTATTTACCCAGACGAAATTATGAATTATAATGGCAATGGATAATGGAATAAATATGTAACATGACAGGTCAGACACGTGTGCTCTGAGATAAGCGGAGAGTTTCAAAAAAGAAATAAATATATTAACTAAATTCATAAAAGAGTTGACAAAAATAAATACCAATTTTTTACTTTCGCATACTTTGTAGTTATAATTTCAATGTAATCTAATAACAATAACTAATATTCGATTATTTATACAGTGTTTTTCAGTTTGCACCGCCGCCCGAGTACTCTATCCTTGATAGCAATTTCATAAAAGTTTTTATTGGATGAATAAAAGTCAACCAGGAAATAATCGGTAAAATAAAATGGAATGCGACTATACACTCATCTATTATGTCTATGTGAAATATGTGGATTGTTTTATTTACATTTTTTGTTTATATTTTTAATTTATACACCTATATGTGTATGTATGTGGAACTGTATAATATACATATTGTTTTTTACAGCGGCGTATTGTTTTATTTTCGGAGTTTTTTGTCAAGTGCATTCGGGTATAAAGTAGGAGGAAAAAGAGCCGGATATACTAGCCGAGTTTATCAGCGATACTTTCTGCTGAAGAGATACTTTTGTGTAATACGTCTCCGGTAACGTACAGCACCGTGAAAAAATATTTGCCAGACACGATCGTGAGTGCGCAACGCCCCAACTTAAACTCGACAATGAGTACAGTAAAAATGCATGCACACATAGATATATAGATATGTATATAAATATGTGGAGATATATAAACACGTACATACGGTGTAGCATATAAAATGTGTAAAGAGTAAAAAAAGAGACAAAGATAACGAAAAAAGGACAGAGAGATTTAGATTTATGCCTCTTTTCTAGTTATCTCACGTTGTATTCGTTGGCACACGGCATCTGCGATCCTTCCAATATATATGTTGTCTGTATATATGTATATTTATATAATATGTATGCCAGTACCACCGAATAGAAGCCATCACCACCGCTGTGCATTTAGTTACGGTTACACATATTTCCCAGTTTATGTTTATACACGTACGAGTGGATATACACTGGAGAACTATTACATTCTCCCTGGACTCATTTGTCAATTATACGCCGCAATATTATCATTGTTTTAATTGATGCATTGTAAAACCCACGTCAGCCGTCTCTATCGATCATCCTAACTATTAAATACGCGGATAAATATTTAATATTTTCATTCATTTCAATTTACTCGGCTTTTATAAGCTGTGAGCGAGGGTGGAAATTTTTTCTGGTAATTAATTTATGGGTTTTATGGATTTATTTTGTTCAATGTGATTTTTTTTTTGATTTGGAAATTTTAAATATAATTTTTTAGACAGAATTTAAATTTTAGTTTGGAAGATATTTTATCAAATTATTAATTTATTCATTGAAAGTTTATTATTAGAAAAAAATTTTTATCATTTTGTTAAATTTAACATTAAATTTTTCGAAAATTTAGAAAAATTTTTGGCGGTAATCGGAAAAAATATTAAAGTTATGAAAAATTTATATTATTTCATTAAAATTATTATAAAATAAAAATTATAATCATAATAATTGTATCACACCCACAATTTTCCTGAAAAACAAGCACCCCCAGAATGATCGCTCCATTTTTTTGTTACAAAAAAAATATTTTTATTATTATTATTATTTTATAATAATTTTAATGAAATAATATGAAAATTTTTTAAAACTTCAAAATTTGAATTTCTATAACAATATTTCTTATAAAGACATTAATTTATTTACTGCAAACAATGTTTCCTTTGATGTCAATAAACTTTAACAACGTTTATCTCTTGCAAAAAATAATGAAATAAAAATTTCAATAAATATCCGTTTTTGTTCCAGTTGAAAGTTAAATTTAAACGGCCTTGTCAAGTTCACTTGTACGCAAACAACGCACACACCTGTCTACATCCGATTTGTATGTACGGACATGTATAATAATAAAAAAAGAAAAGTAGGTTTATATCGTTACTTTCCTATTCCTTTTTTTATCGTAATTAAACCGTGCGATGATTCCGTTGGAATACATCGGGGAAATCAAAAATATATAGTGCCTGATTCGTATTTTATATATATATATCAACTCTAATAACTTGTTATTGAATAAATTTTGTTTTTTTTGTTTTATTCTTCCTTAATCAAAAAACGTTAAATTACTAACCTTATTTTTATTCTCAAAAACTAAAGACAACCAGAGCCACGTATAGTGTTTATGTTTTCAATGCCAGAAATCAAAAGTTATTTCAAGTAAACTCTTATTTTTATTCTTTTTTAGTAACTTTAATTGTTTCGAGGAAAGCGTACAGCTGAGTTGATTGTTGACCGCAGCAGTCTCGGCTTAATTCGATTAAGCGGTTTAACTTAGTGACAAAATAATTTAATTAGTACGACGGTCAGATTGAGACACCGGACACTGGACACTCCAGTTTGATGTTCAATTTCATTACACCGCAAAAAGTTATTAATTTAATTAACAAATTTATTCATTTGTAAATAAATTAAAAAAAAATTTTTTTAGTTCTTAAATAATTAATTTTATCGTTCACGAATAAAAAATTGAAAAATACTGTTGAAAATAGCAACGATACTGTAGATGCAGTGATGTCAGGACATATTATATTTTGGATGCAAGGAAGGGTCAATTTTATGACCTGAGGTACTGTCGGTACTTTTGGGTTGCCAGCGGTCATAGTTAGTGTCAACTGAACTCCCGTGACGAACGGTCCACCTTTGTGTTATAATATTATCGAGTACCTACACTACTTAAATCTTTAATGTATTTGTTTGTGTATTCTAGAGTAGTTTATTATTAATAAAGACAATAAAGTGCAATAATATTTTTCCTTCATAAATCCTATATATTATATTATCTCAATCTTCCAGCCTCAAATTCCAATAAATACTTTTTTTTTACCAACATTTGAGTAAACATATTTCCTATTCTATTAAAAATTACCTTTACAGTCTAAAGTTACGATTTTATTGTGAAATTTAACAGTCGCGAATAATAAAAAAGAGCATTCGATCTGTAAAAAAAAAAAATACAGGAATCCACTAGTTAAATTTTTTTTCGCGAATATCCAACGAATTGATGTTGAAAGATAGCAATATTGTTCGTTAGACTTGTCTCGATGTAACAGTAGACTTTTTATGGAAGTGTATAAAACTATCGAGTGCAAAAATAATTTAAAGCTTTGTATGGATGAAAAATTTGATATGAAGCGACATGATGAACTGAGAATTGATATGAATAAAAATATTGACTGATAGCTAGTACATTGATATCCATATAGATGAATATAGAAGAACAGAGATAGCCAGAGTCAGAGTAACATTTCACAAAGCCATTTTTTATCTAGTTTGGTGCGATTCATCTCTCTGTAATACTTAGAGCTGCGCAACAACAAGTTACATTGTTTTTATGTGTACTACCGAGTTTTGTTGTAAAACTAAACCGAGAGAATCAAGTTGTATAGATATAAAAATACAGGACAGGAGCCAGAAGAAAAGCAAAGGGTAAAAAGCAAAAACTAATCGATGAAATAACGAAAATCTTTATCCTTTATACTTTTGGAAAGTACGTAACGGATCTATATAATATTTAAATTTACATGGAAGGAGATAACCGATTTGCGAAAGTTTAAGTTCAGAGTTTACACAAACTTGTTGTTTATTTTAAATGCTTTTATACTTTTTTTATCTTCCCGTCCTATATCCTTTCCCTTTTATTTTTTAAAAATAAATAACAAAGTTCCGGTTAAATCTAAAACAGCAATCGCAATCAAATATCTTCAAACCCATTGGAGATTAAAAAAAAGTTTTGCTTTTTACCTTTGTAATAAAAAGTTTTAATTAAACTCGGCGCAATCAAATATTTCCGTATTTCCTTTTTTTATTTACTTTTCTCAATAATAAACCATAATAATATTTCCTGATCATCAATTACTCCTGGATGTTTGTTGTAAAAAAATAAAAACAAAAATTTCTATAAAAATATAGAATTTGAGGATGCAAATTTTGAAGATACAAATCTTCAAAATTTGCTTAAAATTTTTCCTAAACTCCTAAACATAAAAAATAATAAAAATTGAGCGTTAAAAAGCGAAAAAATGAGTCAATATCAGAAGACAGCCGTGTAACAACTTAAGGAATAAAAATAAAAAAAAAAAATGTAGACTTACCCTGTGAGGTGCTCTGAGAAGTCGATGCACCGCGGCTAACTGGTTGATGAGCGGCAAGGTCGCGCTGAAGGTGTGTACAGGCGGCCTCGGAGGCTCCGGATAAGAACTCGCGTACGCGAAGGGATCAACATCATTAAGGTATTGCACCCTGCACGTCAGCGACATTCCGAGCCGTTCCCTTAACTTTTTGTCGCTACACTAGTGTCCAGTACAGTCTGGAGTCTATAGACTCTAAAGTCTGAGTCCGTAGCCTGTCCTACTTAAATTTTTTCCTTCGTACAAAATTTGGCTCGAATTCTGGCTGTTGGACTCTTACACATACGCTCGAGTAAGTAAAACTGAGTTTATAACCAGCGAAAATATTAAATCTTTAGCAAATGGAGTATAACAACGTCTTGAGCAAGAGTAAGTTAGAAAAAAAATAAAGAGCTCGAATGAGAATAAGAATGAGAATGAGAATGAGAATGAGAATAAGAATGAGTACATGTATGTGTGCCCGTGGGTTATTTTCTTGTTTTATTTTATTCTCTTATTCTCTTAGCTGAACAACCGGTTCACCGTGGCACGTAGCGGAGGATCTGGTGCTAGCTTGTATTCCCTCTTTTACTCTTACTTATACTTGTATTATTCCCATACATGTACGCTACTCTTATTATACTCCTGTATACTGTATAATACTGTATACTAAGTTCCAATCCGATCGAATCCTTTATTTTAATCCAAAGCAGGGCCAGCCGTTGCCTTCTGGGCCCTTTACCCACTGACTATCTCCAAGTGTACCTCGTCCACCTTAAAGACTTACGACCGGGCGAATTAAATATAAAAGAGACTGTTGGGGTAAAAAAATTTTCCCAACAGCTTTTGACTCTTTGACTTTAATTGTACTCCAATTTAATGCCTTTACTTCTTTTGTAAATATGAATTTTCCGCCAGAAGTAATAACAATTATCACTAGATTGTTCTTAACACAGCCAGTCAATTTTCACGCATCTGTTGAACAATTGCAAACAAATAAATAGTCTTGCTCTGAACAGTTGGCTCGTAAATAATTTATCTAGTTAAATATTATATTGTTTAACAAGCTTCAGTCTAAATAAAATAGGCGTAAGGTTTCATTGGGATCGCGAGCCTTGACCGCGGATTTTAGTGACGTCAAATAATGTGTAATATTTAATTCCACGGTTATGTTTGTTATTAGTTAGAGTTGGTTAATTATCTTTTGCATATTACGTGGTTATTGCTCTAGCTGGTCATTAACTTACTTTGTTATATAACTGTGAAGGGTAATTAAAAAATTTTTAGGCTCAACTCGAGGTTGTTGTATTAATTCAGCACATTGCATGTTAGAATTTTTTTTTTAATTAATAATTCATAGAAATTAAAAAAAATTTATTTTTTAAAATATATTTAACGATTTGATAAAAGAAAAAAAATTAATAAATTATAAGAAAATTTTAATCAAATATTTAAAAATAAAAATCGATTATTTTTTATCTAATTTTTTAATAAAAAATTAATAAAATGTACTAAAAGTTTTTTTAATTATTCATGTATGAAAAAATGAATTGATTTAATAATAAAAATATTAAATGAAAGTTTGCTAAGTATTAAAACATAATTTAGCGAATATCTGAAAAATTTTTCATTTATTATTTAAAAAAATAAATTATTGAGTATAAAATAAATTAATAAAGTTTACGACAAAAATTAATAATTAAAAATCAGTAAAATATCTGTACTGGTACAAGCAATATGTAAATGCAGGACTCATTAGCGTTTAGTATCATAAATAATTATCTCGGGGCTGGACCGGGACCAGGAACCAGAGGCATTAGCTTAAAGTTGTAGGCTACTGTACCGGCTCCAGACAATCGGAGCCGGTAAAATCTGTCGGTGGAGTCTGTATATAGTAGTCTTATGGTCTCATGGTAGTTACTGTGGATATCAAGTGAAAGAGAAGAAAGAAGAAAGACTGAGATGGAAAAAGAATCCTGGAGCTGAGAATAAACGGAGAGGGAAAACGAGTCTGCGCGATGCGATACAAATGCTTGCTCCTTGTTATATTATTTTAAATGCTTGTTACTCAGTTTATTTAAGCTTTTTTAGATTTTATTCTATAATATATATATATATATTGTAAATTAACTTTATCGTAATCTCATAAATATAAAGCGTTGCTAAAAAAAATGTTTGTTTATCTCAATTGATAAGAATTTTTGTAACAAGTCCTTCCTCTTCCTATCGCGGAATTTTATTTTGGAGTGGAAAAAATTAATTTTTAAAAATTGAGATTTTTATTTTTGGAGCCGGTTTTAATTTTTAATTTTTTGGAGCAAAAATTTAATTTCTTTTTTTTTAATTGAAATTTTTGAAACTGAAACTTGTTAAAAATATTTAAAAAATTATTTAGATCCAACTGACTGTAAACAAAAGTGGGTACATGCGTAGAGCAAACCGCGATTGGAGTCTGCGCTTAACACTTTGTTCCAAGATGCGGGATCGAAGGTCACGTGTATCTGGATTCAATTGACCGAACCCCGAACTGAAGAATCCGCGGGCAAGGCGCAAACAATTGCGCGGTTCAAATTTTAAATTTGATCACTCTGCTGGAATTATTTGAGGACACAGTACAGGGTAATTAGTTATTAATTATTTACTGATTACTAGAAGAAGTAACTGCCGTCGCCGAGGACAACGACTGACACAACCACCGGTCCTTGGGCGGTAAAAAAAATTTTAAAAACAACACAATAAAAAACGAAGATAACAAATGATAAAATAATAAATAAACGGCCATACAACGTGCCTAACCTCGCGAGCGGCCGCCGCGACACTGAGTCTTACGGACACCTGTCGACTCCCGCGACTGCGACGCCACCTCGCGAGAACTCCCCTCTCAGCCCCGCGCACCCCACCCACACCCTTTCACTATTTCCAGAAAAATACCACGCGGACTTATTTTTTGATTTTTTTAGATTTTTGATTAAACATAATGTTAGAAATTCTAGAAATTATTTTTAATAGAATTAATTTTTATTTTTTGTTAAAATTTTTATTATGAAATTTTTTGTCTGAATTTAAAAGAAAATTTTTAATTATTAAAAATATTTGTAAATATAGAAAACAATAAAAAAAGTTCAAGAGATTCATCCTTTGAATATAAAAGAGAATTTGGAAAAATTTCTCATGAAAATTGTGTATAGAAATAGGAAATACAAAAAAGTTTATGAAAATGAAGTTAGCCGACATTCCAAAATTGTTAGAAATTTTTTATTGAAAAAAAAAATTTCACATGTAAAAAACTTGAAAAACTACAAGTGCAATTTTTTAGAAATATCTTTTTAGTTGTAATTTAATTAATAAAAAAAATCAAAAATTTTTAGACGTTTGCTAACTTCAGTATCATAAAAATTTTAAGATTTTTTTGTTTTATATAAATTTTTGATGAAATTTATATGTAAAATGAGAAAATACAAAAACATTTTAAATATATATTTTCTTTGAAATTTGATTTAATTTTTTATAAAAAAAAACAAGCTTTAATTTTTTGTATCTCGCATTTTTTTTGAAAGAATATAACTTGACTAGACGGAGATAATTTTTTTAGACCAAGAACTTAATTTTTTTTTTATAAATTTCTGACATTTTTATTCAGGTCAATAATTGGTAAGAGAAAAGCTTGGTGAGGCAAATAAGCACGTTTTGGTACTATGTTTTATTTTTGAAAATAAAATAGAATTGGTAAGAGTCAGAGAGGGTTAGATCCACTCACTCACGTGGCAGGAAATTCTTTTGTCGAAAACACTTGGAGTCCACAGGGGAAAGTTTATCTCTTCCGTCTTTCTTGTACATATATTTTATAAATTTATGTACATATATACCTATGTATGTATCTATATATGTACAAGTATACAAGTGTGTGGGTGTGAATGTATATGTATAGTAAATAAAGTTGCGGTAGAACGTACGAGCGAGAAACTTTCAACGACGGAAATTCGCGTCCCTCTTGTGTCATGCGAAAGATACGAAAACTGCATGATATAAAATAAGTTTTTTGTTGTTGAGTGCCGGGCTTCAAGCATACTAGAATAATGTCTGTCATATCTTGAGGGGTTACAAACTGCGTCGGTTTGATTGTTATTAAAAAATTTTTTTTAAAGTTTCAGGCTTCAGTTCGAGAAAAATTTTTACATACTTTTAATTAAAAATTAAATTGAGTAAAAATAAATATTTTAAATCTTTATAATTAATAATAAAATTATTTTTAATAAATTGGACTTGCACTACACTCCTTTATTTTTAGTTCAAATGATAAAACTGAGTCACCTAGTAATTATTTTAGAAAAGCTCGTAAGTTATTCAAATAATTCTTGCAAGCAACGTGCGTTGAAAATAGTACCCGAAATACTAAGCACTCTAATGACTCTTTGAAATCTTGAATTATTAAATAATTAATTAACCTTTTGGATATGTGAGTCATAAAAAGACCTCGGAAGTACCTCAGTATATTTAAAAATTAAAATAGACGCCAGTAAAATATTTAATTTGCCTAATTATACCGTGAGTAATATCAACTCAGATAATGATCAGCGATATGAAGATTTACTTTATTATCTGCGCGATTTATTGACTAAAACTTTAGTACGACGACAGAAATTTAATGGACTCTAAAATAGAAAATCATTAATTCCTCAGTACCTAATAATTAATAATCAATGAACTCATTAATTAAGTAACTCGTCTAAGTAATTTTAGATGAGTAATTAATTAAACACTTGAATCTAAAAACTCAGAACGTGAAAAATTGAAAATGATTTTACAATTAATGTTTTAAAAGAAATGAATTGATGCAAACACCCTCTACTCGGTGACTGGTACCATAGGTAGCCCTCTGTTCCTATTGTTTGTATACTAAGCTGAATACATCCGCAGCATTAACTTGAACGAAAAAAATAGTACTAAAGTCCCGTCTGGCAGCCCGTGAATCGCTTTTGTTCGGAAACTTTTCTAGTATAAATAAAAAATAAAACAATAGGTTTAAAAATAGAACAAATACTCGAAATTAAACCCTCTTGCGCACTTTTTTAGGTATTTATTCCCAATAAACAATAATAATAATAATAATAATAACATACGTTCCACCCTCACCCTTGCAATCTCTTCAGTCTTTAAAAGCCTCTATTTTTCTTATTGCGTGTAGCTTTTGTTTTGGCTTTCAAACCTTCTAATACCTCATCTGCGGCGCGGCTTTTTACGCCAAAAATATGGACAAAAGATAAAACTTTTTACTATTAAATTTATTCCCTAGCTTAATTATTTTTTCACTAAACCGATTATCTGTAACTATAACCATTAAGCTTGATACCAAAGTTTAGGTAGTTTGCTTCTCTGAGTACTTGACTTGTAAGAACTTACACTTGACCCGACGTTTTATTTTTATTCTCAGAATTATATATTAAAGTTTTTTACAAAATCAGAATTTTCGTTATAAAAAATTAAAATTCTGAAATTTAATTGCCATAAAAAAAAAAATATTAATATTGAGAAAATATTAAAAATAATTCCATTCACATTTAAAAATTTTTAAATGAAAATCTTTTTCAATTTTCTTAATCTATATCATTAAGAGAATAAGCGAAATTTTGTGGCCAGTGTATTTATATAATAAAATAGGGTTTTATAGTTAAATTTGGTATTGTTGGAAAACTTTTGACCTGAAGTTGTGCATTTTCATAGTTTCATATCATTCTCACCGACATTCAATTTATTATGATAAATATTGAGACTGCATTCAAAAATGCCCTATTTCTAGATACATAATTAAGAAATGGCCTTGTATCTTGTTAACTATTAACATTTTTAAAGATATAAGCTCATCCCGATGTTATACTCGTCAAGACCTTTCATTTGAGTACCCACATCAATTTTTTCATATATTTACATATATTATATATATGTATATATGAAAAATATATCAAAATGCATGTGGGTACTCAAATGAAAGCTCTTGATGAGTGTAACATCGGGATGAGCTTATATCTTTGAAAATATCAATAGTTAAGAAAGTACAGTGCAATTTAACATAATTAAGAAACGACCTTGTACCCTCCAATTTATTGGTATTTTTAAAGATAAAAGCTCACCCCGACATTTCACTCTTTGAGACCTTTAATTTGAGTACCCACATCAATTTTTCATATATTTACATATATCATATATATGTATATATGAAAAATATATCAAAATGCATGTAGGTATTCAAATGAAAGCTTTTGATGAGTGTAACATCGGGATGAGCTTATATCTTTGAAAATATCAATAGTTGAGAAAGTACAGTGCAACTTAACATAATTAAAAAATTACCTTGTATCTTGTGAACTATTGACATTTTTAAAGATATAAGCTCACCCCGACACTACACTCATCGAGACCTTTCATTTGAGTATCCACATCATTTTTTCATATATTTATATATATATATTATATATATGTATATATGAAAAATATATCAAAATGCATGTGGGTACTCAAATGAAAGCTCTTGATGAGTGTAACATCGGTATGAGCTTATATCTTTAATAACGTCGATAGTTAAAAAAGTACAATGCAGTTTAACAAAAGTCATTGTTTAATAAAGCAAAATTTAATTTATTTATAGTTCACAAGTCACATAGCGACTGCAAGGTTGCTAGCAATAATTTATTTGTAAAAAAAAAAACCTAACATTCCAAAAATGTCTCTTTAGCTCAACTGTGGTTAATTTTCAAATTAATTAACCTCATAAAAAATGTAAACTTTAAAAAACCACGGATTGCGAGTACTAAACAACGTAAAGAGTCGTTTCGTTTGAAGATAAATTCAAAAGTTCCCTCAAATACACAACGAGAAAAACAATCACCAAAAGAACAATATAAATATGTAAATAAATTAAGTTCAGTTGATATAACTTTGTATGTAGACTTACCGGGATGTAACCGTCTGGCTGTGGTCTCTCTTTATCCCTGTAACAGAGAAAAAAAGCTCCGGTCAGTGAGGTCGCCAAGTGACATTACAACTATGATGCTGCCCAGAAAACAATATAATATAACTTTGCCCTGAAGGTAACTACAACAAAAGTTTACAAGCCCGTCCCGTTCGTGGTCCTATCCACAGGACCTGGTATAATAATCACTCGCTCTTTCTCTTTCCCGGTTTATCCTTTGGCGAGTTACAACACGGGCTGGCGATTTAGTTACGGTTTAACATACGTATACATGTATACATGGACATACCTTACTCGTCGTTGAATAACCGGAGTTTTCGGCGTGCTGTCGTGGATTATAACTTCAGCCACATCTATCTCTTCACATTCCGAGCTCCCATCCGAAGTTTCTGCAATTCAAAATATGCATATTACGTCCATACACCCCCGAATTCACTCTTATTCTACCCACACCCTTACACCTGCCCATCCAACTGCCAGGGCTTTTACCATCAGAGACACAAGTATCAACTATGAATATAAAGTTTTATAACTATTAAGTCTATTGTTTAAATTAATTTATTTTGACGTTAACCATTGTTTAGACGTCCTTGTTTCTAAATTTTAATAATTCATGTTAGCTAATGATATATTTAAATGAAACTAAAATTAGCCGACAGCGAAAATTTTTTATTTTTATTTTTATTAATTGAATTAGAAATAAAAAAATATTTTCAAAAAATTGCACGTAAAGTTTCTCAAATTTTTTACATGTGAAATTTTTTTGTAATAATTTTATTAATAAAAAAAATTCTGAAAATTGTCAAATGTCTGCTAATTTTATTTTTATTATATTTAAATATTTAGATATCTAAAAATTTTTAGAGTTGCAATTTTTTAAAAATATTATTTAGTTTTAAATTAATAATTAAAAAAAAATTAAAAAATCAAAAATGTCGGCTAATTTTAGTATTATTATTTAAATTATTAGTTTATGTTTGATAAGTTGAAAAATAATTAAACTGATTTATATTACCAGAAAAAAAGTGCTAAATTTCAAAGTTTCATTTCAGGACTGCTTAATTTTCGGCCGACAAAACTCTAATCCGAGTGCAAAAAATTATTTTCACGGTTATTATCACGAATATTTGAAAAAAAACTATTTTTATTGAATTTATTTTGATGTTTAGTGGGAATAACAGAAAAACATTGATTTTCGATGAGAAAATTGCTTAATTTTTGATAAATACAACTACTTTGGAGAACAAAGCGCAACGTCACTGCGGATCAGCGCGGTATGGCGAAATGGCCGTTGATCCCCCCACTCTACTAGAAAATTTTGAATTTTAGTTCCGACTTTTGCCGCTAGTTGCAAATGGCGCGAAATAATTCAAATTTAAAAATAAATTAATAGAATTTGAAATAATCTTATAATAATTATGATAAAAGTGAATGAAAATTAATTAAGCAGATATTTAATTATTTTTAAAATTTTTGTAACAAATTATGGCAAAAAAAATTAGAAAATAGAAAATTGACATGTAGAAATTAAAAAACATTAAAAATGCAATTTTTTAAAAATAATTTTTTGGAACAAATTTGTTAGTTAAAAAAAAATTAAAAATTGTCAAGTGACTGCTAACTTTAATGTTATTAAAAGTGAATAATAAAATTTCAATAAAATTTTTTTTTTTCACTAAAACCGGAAAAAGACGAAAAAATTATCAATAAATATAAGGGTAAATATTTTGGATTAAAAATTAATAATTTTACAAATAAAAACTTACAAATTTCTTACTTTCTAAACTTAATAAAAATAATTGTTGATAAATGTAATAAAAGTATAGATATAATTTCAAGGATCAAAATTTTGAATACAAAATAAATTGAATTAAAAAAAAAAAAACAAAAGAACTAAAAAGAGAATGATGAGTAACTGGAAAGAAATCAATAAATATGAATAGAAATAAATTAAACTGTGTAACCAATCCTTGAACAATTTTCCCTTGTACCTTTCGCAGCGCATAACCCACTTAATCCCAGTGTAATTCCTGTCATTTAATCGATTACTGCGGCAAACTCGCGAGTATTATAGGTGCCTGGCATCACGGAGTAAATTCATCTCCTCTACATATGGATATACCTCAATATCTCTGGTCTAGTCCTTGCAAAGCTGGAAAGGGTATGGCAGATCACAACTACATACACACCCCATACCATTAGTATATTACAGCTACAGCAACAGCAGAGCTTATATTCCTGTGCTCGACATTGGCAACCGACTCACCTCCAACATTCACCGCTTCCTGTTTGTATACGCGTGATATTACGGAAGTGTTGTAAGCAGCTGGTTCACCTAGAATGTCATCGATATTGGTAACTCCGCCGATGAACAAAGGCAACGTCGATGGCCGCTTGCGCGGCGATGATTTGCGACGCACATGATTATGATGCATGTTTATGGGCTGGATCTTGTCGTAACTCGGTGTCCGGTAACATTCTAACGTTGATGGATTTTCAACCTAAAATCATCATCTCCATAAATATCATCGGTAATCTCAATATAAACAATCAAAATTTGTATTAACGTTGACTTTTAAAAATCGATTATTGTTTTTAGTAGATTTCATAAAATTTTAACTATTGCAGCCGTCCTCAGGGTGCAACTTTTAAAAAATTTAACCATTTTCTGACTCAGTTTGTTAAGCTGAGTCAGAAAATCTAATTAGCAAATTGTCTAACTCCATTTTAGAGAATCTTCCATTTGTACGAAAAAATAATTAGTTCAAAATTTATTAACGTAAAGCTCGTTTATTAAGTTCCAATTTTCACTTCTGTGGTAATAGCTTAAATATTACTCCTTTTAGAGTTAATTTAATGAAACAGTTTTACTTTTGCAGCCGTTTTAGAATTATTGGCTGTATTATAGCATAAACATGATGTAGATTCAATAATCATGATATTGACCAGTCTTTCGTGTAATGTGTTCGGGTAGGTCGTGAGTAAATATGTCACAAATTAATTCTAAATGTTGTTTTCTTCAATTAAAATTTTATCCAGTTTCAGAATTCTGATTAACTTGGAAACTGTTGTTCTGAAACAGTGACTTAAAGTTTGGACATTGATAATTAAAATCTCATATTCTTGAAAATTGTTTGAAAAATATTTGAGAAACTTTTTCTTTACAAGAAATATAGTTTTAAATTTATTATTGAATTTTGTTTTTAATTAATGAATTAATTAAGTTATTCATTATTAATATTTTTTATTAAAAATAAATTTTCTTTATTTGAGAAATCTACTTCTATTTCAGCTGCCGAATAGCCTTTTTTAAAATTAAAGTCGACCGATGAATTGATAAAAAACTAAAGAAAAAAAAGTCGATTTTATTGAATATTTAAAAATATAAATATCAATATTTATATCTAGCCATAAAATAAAATAAAATGAAATAAAAATTACCCCTTCTGGACTTATACGATCGCCGAGAGGCAAATCCTCCGACATTGACGTCGTAAATTCAATACCCATCTCCGACTCAGTATGTCCTTGGTGTCCAGTACGTCCCACAGAAGTGCAACCATCACCCCCGACAATCGATCTGCCGGGATATATTTCAAGTTTCTCATACGACCCGGACAAGTCGTCCGAATTGCTATTGGACTCGTTCTCGATACTTATTTTCTGTACACCCTCGGGAATATTTGAGTTACTGTCCATCCACCAGGCGCGTTCTCCCGACTCAATGTGTCTTATTCTATTGACACTCAGCGAAACAGTCTCGCTTCCCGGGACCGAGTCTTGTCCTTGGCTCACGTTTTGCGGGGACGCGCCGCCACTCGGGTAAACTTCAATGCCTTCGGGTACTTCACTGGGGTCCTCGCTCATCCACCAAGCACGTTCTCCGGATTGCTGATGCTTCAGACGGTTTTTCCGCTCGGTAGCGCTGCTTGATTTTTTGCTTGTTTTTCTCGACGACGAGCTCGATTCTTTCTTCACGGGCAGCTCCTCTTGGTTTATCCACCAACTGTCTTCTTGCACTGAGTCTTTCCATACTTTGTATTTACCTGGATAAAATAAATAAATGAATAAGTTGGATAGATTAAACTTTTTTTTTTTTTTGTTTCAGTCAAAATGAATTGTCTTTAAATATTAAAGATACATTTTTTATGGGCAATTAGTCTTGAAATTTAAATTAATAGATATTTTAACAATAAATATTTTTTTTATAAATAAATTATTATAAGAAAATTAAAAAATCATTATTTACTATCACGAAATTTTACTTATTATTGATTTAAGGAGGGAAATACGCGTAGAAAACCGTTTTCAAGAATTTTTTTAAGGTATAAAAAATTAATATTATTTTTTTTTGTGCCATTAATTTCAGATAAAAATTGTGGCTTCCATAGTGCACACCAACTACTAAGTCGGAAGACAACCTACGATGTGTATCAGCTGATATCTCCGCTGCTTATCAAGTTATATTATCGTAAAATATGGAAAAATATAAATATATGTATAAAATAACCTGTAGTTTCAATAAATAATATTAATTTTCATACCTTTAGAAAATTAATAAAAAATTAGCATGAAAACATTTTTCTACACATTTAGATTTTAATACTAATAACAAAATTAAACATTTTAGTCATCTGCTAAATAAAGTATAAACACTAAATCATCCTTTTAAACAGCTATAAATTTAATTAAATAACTCACCATCATCAGGCAAATTAGTGCTGACAGTTGTCTCTTGACTTATTTCATCTTGACAGACACTAACACGCTCTATCCCCTCAGGTACATTGTCTGAGTTAGCGTCCATCCACCAAGCTTTTTCCCCAGAATATTGTCTTTTCAATGTCTCATTTTCTCTTCCACCACAACTATTATTATTATTATTATTATTATCATTATTATTATTATTACTATCATTACTAACAATATTAACATTATTATTATTCTCAGAAAAACCTAATCCGTTATTCGCATTAAAATTCTGGCTCCCAGAATTCGACCTTATCGATCCTCTCCGTGGTTCTTTTTTCCCCCAACTATCGGACCTGGTGTCTTCCTCATAAATATTAGCAACAGGCGTCAAAGTCCTTATAAGAAAAGCCTTAGCCTCGTCAGTTTTCAATTTCTCACTCTTGAAGCTTCCACACGAGGAGCCAGCTCTCGGTTTGTCCATTCCTAGAGACAATTCGTCGGTAGACAGCGCTAAGACACTTGTTCTCGAAGAACTCGCACTGACAGCAAGAGCCTTGCTTCCCATTTTTTTCCCCATTGAACTCGTCGAATTTTTGCTCCTGCGTTTTCTTCGATTGCTCTTCGGCTGATCTTCATCATTGCTCTCGGAAGATGACGAAGAAGAAGAGGAGGATGAAGAAGAAGAGCTTGAGCAAGAGTCACTTGGCAAACTAGTTTGCTCCGAAGATACGCTAGCTTTTCTTCTTGGAGATTCTGAGTTGCTTCTTAGCTTATTATAAATAACAAGACAGGAGCTAGAGCCGTTTTTTAAGCCATTTATACGAGGTATATGACTCTTACCACTTGTTTCGTTTCCATTATTACTATTATTACTAGTAGAGAAGCTATTATTACTCTTAACGTCCTCCTGAGAACTGACAGAGCCACTGCGCGAGCTTTTAGTTCTCTTGCGATTTAATTTATTTCTCGAACTAGAGTCACTTGCATCCGGCATATTGAGCGCGGATTTTCTAAAGTCTTTGTTGACATACTTGATAGAACTAGAACCAGAACCAGAGGTCTTCATACTCCCAGAACTGTCACTAGTAGTTTTCCCAGGAACGGGAGGCTTTCCACGTGCAGTAGCGGATCCACTGCGCGAATTAGAAGGTGTAGCCGCGGATGACGAGGTGACCACCTCGGATGAAGTTTTGAGAGACTGAGAGGGAGCTCTTATTTTTGCATTATGACTCGTCAGCGAGCTGGCTGACGTGGACTTGGACTTGCCAGTTGGCAAACTGACAGTCGCGCTGTCCGAAGAGTCAGTTCTTCCCGGTGTTATTTGACGTTGTTGTTGCTGTTGTTGAGGCTTAAAGCTCTTAGCAGAGCCATTCCTCGACAGAGACTTGGGTGTGACATCTTGCCTTGATAGCGAGGCGCGTCGGGATGACGGAGCAGATGATGAACCCGAGGTAACAGAGTTATCCCGCTTAACTTCCTTCTCCGGAGACGTCTTTTCGGTCTCTAGTTCGGGTGATAAATTGCAATCTTGCGTGGCAGGACACGGGGGTTCTTTTGTGTCCTCGGGTTTAACACTTGCAGTTTTAAAATGAGCTTCGTTGTGTCTAGTTATCGATGTAGAAGAAAAAGGTGGAGGCGGAGTGGAAGCTGAAGAAATAGCTGAAGAAGAGGGTTCTGTAACAGCCGGTCTGTACCCAAAATTGCTGACTCTGGAGTCGTAAGTCCTCGAAAAAGAACCTGAAGATGAAAATTTTTCGAGATACGACGAGGAGGGTGAGGAGGCAGACCAAGGTGAAGACCGGATGGCGTACCGCGAATATCTGGCGGTGTCATCCATACGGTCGCTCTGCATCCCGGCGTCTTTGAATTCTTCTGGGTTTTTAATGAAACGAGTGATATCTTTCTGGATAGTGCGAGCTATGTCGACTCTTCTCGATCGGATAAACGCTGTGGCGGGTCCTGGGGGGCCTGGAGATGTTCCACGCGAGACGACGGTGATAGTTACTAGTTTGACAGGATCTTCGGTGCTGGAGGGTACATTTGTTTTTGCTTTGTTTCTCGGCTGACCGTCTTTATCTTTATCTTCATTGTCTTCTTCTTTGTCTTTAACTTGATCCTTTTGGTTATCCTTGTCTGAGACTTCAATTACACTTTTTCCGAGTGAGTTTGACTGAGAGATGTTTACCGATTCAGTGGGTGTAGGTGTGGATTTGTTGCTGTCGTATTCCCCGTCGGGATTTAACACTGAAGAAACTGTTTTCATAGAGGATAATGAAGACAACAGTCTGTCAGCGGATGCTGATGCTGAAGCAGTAGTGGTAGTTGTTGCTGTTGCTATTGTTGTCGAGCTGGGAGGATGGGGCTGGCCTATAGGTATTTCGGTTCTCTCTCCATTATGACTCGCTGAGGAAGATCCTTGCCTCGAGGAGTTGGTAAACTTGCTAGTTACTGGTGTTTCAGCTTCAATGATCAAACATTAATATTAGTTTCATAATTACTTATTGTAGATACTTTTTTGTTGGTTATTGTGTTACGTCAAGGGGATTGCTAGCTTTGACGTTGAGATAACTTTTTTTTTGTTAGGGATTTTATTTTATATTACAATCTACAATTTTTTATTGATTGAGCTTGGATACTTTTCAAAGATAATATCTTTTAGCTTTGTTGAAAATTTTACTCGAAAAGTACTTTAGTAATAAATAATAAGTTACTATTAACGATAAAAAGATAGAAATATTTATTATTGATGATATTATTTCATTTTTCATTCACTTTATTGCAAAGTGATTTTTTTTTAATCAGTAATTAAATTAAAATTTTATATTTTTTTTACTATTTAACTACTTAGTTTCAGAACAATTATATTAATGTGTGTAATTTAAAAAATATTAAGTATATTTGCAAAGTAGCAGTCTCCTTAATTAAAATAATTAAAATGATAATGCGACCAGAAATTGAAATTTTTTTTTTTATAGACAAACTATTTTTTAAAAAAACTAGAAATTAACATGTGTAAAATATTATTAAAAAAATTTATTATATATTAATTATTTAATTACTAAATTTATTTTTGCAAAAATTTTTTAAAAGTTAAAAAAATGTCGTTGAAGTATTAAAAATTGTCAATTTTTACAATTGTCATTATCATTTTATTTATTTATTTATTTATTAATCAACATACCCCCATCGGCAATATACATCAATAGAAAGTATTTAAAATGAAATAACATTAGTTTAAGAAAAAAATTAATTAGAATTTAATTAATGAAAAAAACGACTTATTATTATTATTATTATTATTATTATTATTATTATTATTATTATTATTATTATTATTATTATTATTATTATTATTATTATTATTATAAAAATACAGTAGCGCTCAAAAGTATTTTGACAAAGTATGCTTTAGTTTGTTCCATCAATGTCAAAATACTTTTGAGCAATCATTTTCCTAATATTTTAAATATTAAACTTTTTTATGTTACAAACTAGGACCACTTTGACACCATTCTATAGATTATTCAAAAGCTGTTAAAAAATAAATAAATGACTATTGTACATATTTTCATATTTATTTTTAATTAAACTATTAAATATATTTGTCAAAATACTTTTAAGCGCTACTGTATATTATTAATATATTTAAAAAAGAGTAAACTTTGAGGAGTGTAAATAAGTAAAATTACAGTTAATATCTTACATGCAGTTCCAGTCTGTCCATAATTTGAAATTCTGGCGTGAACTTTGAAGGAGGTCGGCTTTGTCCCAGTAATTTCGGGACTGGGTTCTCTTGTAGAAGTTGAGGCGAAACTTCTCGGCAAAGTTGCGGCATTACCCCGGTTTGAATTGGTGTTAGAGTAGTGAGAGGCATTTGAAGAGGAGGGTCTTGAAGAGGAAGCACCCGAATTATCATTTCCTTTTATTTTTTCTCCACTTTTGTCTTGGTCGTTTTCACGCGATCCAGATCCGCGATACGAGCTGTTCACATACCTTGACGGTGTCTCTGATTCTCGGGTCTTGTCACCGACACGCTCCCCGTATTTCTCCAGCACTGATGATATACGCGGGCTCGTTTTTGTTACAGGATAAGAATACTTTTCCAGCAGCGTTGTTCCGAGGCTTTTTTCGCTTTTATCTGCAAAATAAAAAGATAAAGTCAATTGAAAAACATTTAAAATAAAAAAAAAATTTTATATATCTGTATGAAATATATATAAGGATTAAGCTGAGATAAAATGAAACTGGACGAAGCATACTTGGGAGCTTATAGGATTTATCTTCAGTCCGTTTCAATAATCCAGTACTTCTGTATCCTGAAGACGGGGTAATTGTTCTGTCTTTTGAAGAAGCTAACGATGCTCGAGCGGATCCGAGACTCGTTGAGTAGCTGCTCCGATAACCACCTAAACTGCTAGAACTACCACTAGAGCTCGTTGGATTTCTCGTTATTCCGCTTACACTGGCACTGCTCCGCGGTCTGTACCCCAAATCACTCTGAAAAATATTTAAAAAATATTAATATCAATTAAAAATAAATAATATTTGACGCTAACATCTCTATCCCATCAATTTTAAGCAATTGAATTCAATAAATTTCATTTACTGGTCTCTAACGGCACTATACATTACTATCGACTGTTATTGCTTTACTATTATCATTATCATTATGTAAAGTCCATTAGCGTTAAATGTACTGCATTCGTTAAAATGATTGATTCAGTCAGCTTTTAAATTCAACAATTGACCTCCTCGATAGATGATAATAGACCGTGGGTAACTTGCCAAAATATACATAATCTATTTACTTTTTTTTTTAGCTACAATTTGTACTGTAATATATGTCTGCTGTCATCAAATTTTTAAAAGCAATTGTTATTTTTTAGATAATTTTCTTCCAGAAATAATAAATGTCAGATTATAAAATATTAATTTTTTTAAAAAACAAAAAAACTTAAAATTTTACGACATTAAAATTAGCAGTTGATTATTTTTTAATTTTATTTAATAAACAAATTTTTTCTGAAAAATTATTTTTAAAACATTGTATTTATAATTTTTTAATGCTTCTACATGTCAATATTTTTTTTTTTTATTCTTTTTATCATAATTTATTTGTTAAAAAAAATTATTAAATATCTGATAAATTAATTATAAAATTTTATAAAAATTATTTTTTATTTTATTGGGAGAAATTATTTTATTTTAACGCTTTCAATATCGCGAATAATTTTTTCAATCATCAATCTAAAATCTCAAAAGTTGAAATTTTTAAGGATTAAAATTTAAAACCAGCCATTAAAATTTAAAAGCCATCAACCAGCTGGTCAAACACTCGACCATTGATCCTAGCGGTCATGTTTCACTTAAAATTTAAATATAAACCTAAACTTGTATGTCATCTTTTTGTAATCCAAATCACTCAGTTTACAGCTGTTTACAATTTAATAGGAAGCGCTTGGTTAAAAAGTTAAATAGCACCAAGCAAGTTTAGTTTTCAGTGTAATCCTTCCCTTTATAAAACCCTCGCTGGCTAGACTGCAGGTTTAAACATTCAAAATAATATAAAAAGAGTTTAGTTTGTTTGAATGAAAAAAAATTTTTTTTAATCGAAAAAAGTCGATCTGACTCAATTAACATAAGTTTGGCGTTCTGCCCGTCGTCATAAATAGATGACCGGAGTTCGCCCGTAGGGAGTATTAGCCTCTCTGTTTTACAACTTTGTACTCTACTGCAGTCCGCATCTTCGATATAACGGGTGAGTTACTATTTACAATTTACAATAAAATAATATTATTATTATTTTAAATTTAATAGACATCACATATGTACATGTATAATAATAACAAATACAAAAGTTGTAATTCCATCACAACGTAAAACAAGGTAAAAAATTTATAATATGCTATTACGTCTACAAAGCTCTTTTTAAAAAAAATAAACGAGATAGAAAAAGGTAAATCTTCTTGGAAAAAATATCCTGACATGACGTCTATATTCTTCTGCAGCAGAAGGATGATAATAATAATAGTAAAAAAATAAGGAGAGAAAAAAAGGTTAAATAAAATGTGTACACACACCCTAAGAGTAGAGTATGATGTACTGTGTACCTATGCCAGTATAAAGTATCATATTTACCCTCTGGCAAACTTGAATACAAGTACACTCTCCTTATCCTCAATTCTCAAGTAAAGGCTACTCGAATTCAACGAACCGAATTGAATATTTTCGAGTTGAGGGTTTCCCGTCATCATGAATATCGAGTATCGATTCGTAAGATCGCGGGCTATTGCTGACAACCGGCACCTGTTCACTTCAGATAACAACTTTTAAAATATCCATAAATTACACATCATTTTTTGTGTGTAATTATTTAAAATTTTTAGTCTTTAAATTATAAATACTTATTAATGTATATTAAATTTGCAAGATACTTCAGTTATATTTATAATTATTTAATCAACTCGAATATATCCGATAGAATAAATCCTTCCTGTCAAAATTTGAAATCTTTTTCCGCTAAGTATTGTCCATTTTAATTATTTATTTATTTATTTTTAGATTGCAGTGAAATGACCACAATGGAGCATTATGATATTGATTATTGGATTCCTAGTGAAAATCACTCAAGTACATCGGCACTTTAGGCGTAGTTGGAATAATTAGTTCAAAGGCATCGTTAATAGACGGATTAATCCAAGTAATTGGTAGAAATCCTACGATTGTTCATCTTGGGGGATTAAATTAATCCTGGAATGAATTGGAATAGATGCTCCTATATGATGATTATTTTTTACTATGGATTACAAGTTACACTGAGAGCAAATAGTTTTTTTCTTAACATAAGCAATGCTGTAACAAAAAATAAAATTTGCAACAAATTAATTTTTTGTCACAAAAATGCTTTTTGTTTCAAAAGAAATTTTCTCTCGCAGTATACAATATTGTAAATTTAAGCGTTGATAAAAGATTAAAAAATCTTCCGGAGGAAATTTGAAACTTTGGTTGGTCAAAAATTATTGATTAAAAAAAATTATTTTAAAGGATTGAATATTTTTAGTTCAACTAAAAATTTTTTATTTAAAATAGAAAAGAAAATATTAATAAAAAACGTAATTTTCTATATTGACTTATTTATTTAATTAACAAAATTAAAACTATCTATAACAAAATATCTTTCTAAACTTGATACAAGCGAATTACAATTTTTTTACACAGTAAAAAATTTTGCGTCAAAAAAATTAGTGTTAAAAATTTTTATGTTAAATATTTAACGCTTTTATATGTAAATTTAACATAAAAATTTTTAACACAAAATTTTTTGACGCAATGACGTAAAATTTTTTACTGTGTATTATTGTAAAATATAAAGAATGAAATTTTTAAGTAATATTTTATCCAAGTCAATTTTATTTGAATTGATAAATAATTTTCACTATCAACTTACCTAATTTTTGAGAAAGTATAATCCAAAAACTAATAACACAATCGTTTATTAAAAAAAAGTATCAATAAATATGTAAATTATATTTAATTAAAAACAAAAAAATTTAAGATAAAATGTGTAATAATAAATATAATTTTGGGAATTTAGCGACAATAAGTTGCAAGTAATTGTAGTAATAATAGTAATGGCAAGTACGAGATTGAAACGCGTGAAACGGTTATCCGACGATAGGAGATACGATCCACGAGGCATTGGTGAATACTCGAGATAGAAATGTGTGTCTCACTTATATCCACATGGGAATTTCACCCCGTACCGGCCTCGGGCCTCGTTTAGCTTAGGTTGCATACTGCATACGTGTGCTTTACTAAAGTTGAGTGTGTCGAGTGTCTAGTATGTACAGTAAGGAGTAACGAGTTGAGCCTAGTACTCGAGTAGTTTCCGTGTGCGCCGCTCATCGTTATTATGGTAATGCTATTCGTGGCGATAATGGAATTGGGACAGTAGTATGTGCCTTTACTTCTCGACAAACCCTTTGCTTCACCTCCGCAATACACTTTGCCCTCATCCTCACTCCTAACCTTCCCCATTTATATCCTCATTCTCCTCGTCCTTGTTCTCGTCATCATCTACCGCTTCCTTATTCAGCTGATTTGAATCCTACAATATAATACTAAGGACTGCATTTACTTATTTTTAATCACGTCGCGTTGCTATTTATTCTTCCTCTATACAAAGAAGCTTCTAGCTCTGTAAGCTTTTAGCTCTTCGTGTTATTAAAAATACTCCTTATATTCATTTACTTTTTTTTTTTCGTTTAATTATTTTGTGCAAATACTTGTGTTTTCCATGTTAATTCAGTAGATAAAATTAAATTAAATCCGTTCGCTTGTAGGCTAATTTGTATTCAGAAAAATTTAGGTAATTACCGAAGCTGGCTCATCAATTTATTTCTACTGCGGAATTAGTAAATTTGAATTTAGTTGACCGAAGGAAAGTATTATAATTCAGGTGTAATGAAATTCAGAGTAAATAAAGGAGTAAGAGCTTTTTTTTTTAATAGAACAATTATTTTTTTGGTCTTTGCGAATTTTATATCCAAAATTTTTGAATTGAAAACTAAAAATTTAATCTTTAATTTAAATTAATAATTTTTTATTCTTTATTATAGAATTGAAAATTATTTTTTTTATAATTTTTCTAAATTATAAAATTAAGAAAAAAAATTTAATACAAAAGCTTATTAAATTTTTTTTAATTTCGAAAAAATGAAACTAGAAATTGAATTTTTATTGTTCAAAAATTTTCTAGTATAAAAAATATCTTTAAAATTTTTTTGTTTAATTTAAAGAAAGACAAAAAATAAATTAATAAATATTGAAAGATTAAATAAAATTTTGAAGAAAAATTTAAATTCAATTTAAAAGATTTTTCAGTAGACTAAAAGCCTAAAAATAGATCGAGGCACCCGATTACGTAGCAACCAAAAATAATAGAGATGTTAAATAAAGTAAAGTGAAAAAAATAAAGTCTTACCCGGACTTTTGGATAATCCGTAATAAAATAAAGTCAAAAAATGTAATGTAAAGGGTTGCCAAGCAGAATAATCTGTTACGATATCTATTATCGCTTTTACTACATCGATTCAGTTAGTAAAGTGTAGGGAGTAAGTAGTGCCAGCGGTCTTGCCAACTTTACCAAACTTTACTACTGTGTACACATTACACATTAGCTTTGTTACATACATAAAATTTCAGTTTTAACTTTTCACTGTACTGTGACTGTAACTGTAACTCTAATTGTGAGTGGGTGAGTACGAGACGGGAGTGTATAACGTTAATGTTTAGGCGCCAGAAGATTCAAAGATACTACTATACACAAGTTTAGTCTTTCATTCATTCGCGCGTTAAGTAAACACCCGCGGGACGTCACATGTGAAATAATATCCACAAAGCGCCGATTCATTATTTTTGAGTCACCGCTTTTTTGCGAGTAGAAGGTTATCGGAAAATGGAGAGTTTAGCTCAATGCTTGAATTGATTAAATTTACAAAGATAATCGATTGTTCGAA